TCGGCGCGTGGCCTGGCGGGGATCCAACGTGAGCTACGTATTTCGTGCGACGTTGTGACGGTCTCATTGCCACTGTGTGTCTCTTTCCAACCTCCAGCACTTCGGTAAACCAACTTCCTTCTTTACCCTGCAATTTCCACGTGTAGCGTTTAATAATCTACGTATTAGTTTAATCCCCTTTTAAAATGTTGCTCAATATTTGGGTACAATACATTGTTTCAAAAGAAATAAACTTTTTCTTATTCATGTATTTTAACTTTTGACGTGTGAAAACGTTCTGCGTCTCGTCAATATTCTCCGCCATTTCCAGACGATTGTACTCCCCGACGATGGGTCTCTCCCGCAACCACCTCCGATGGGGCTCCTGTGCAGAGGGAGGCGTCTATCACTACCCATATGGTCCCTCCGTGGGTGCAAGTGTTCGGCGACTCCGCAGTCGACCGGCCGCCTCACGAAGTCGACTCCTCCACCGTTATTTGGCGGTGTGGTCCTCTAGTAGGGCCGGGGGCCCTTATCCCAATGATGCCAATGATCAGACGATTTCCAATAACCAATGGTGGCTCCTGCTCAGGGTGGGGGAAAACGGTTCCGGAATCAGGTGTCGCCTAACGCTCGCTACGGCTCTGTAATTGTACGCAGATGCTCGGCGCGGAAAAAGACGCGGTTAGTCGCTGTTCAAATCGTCGCTATTTCTCGGGATTCCTCTAGGAGCGCTCGTGTGCCTGCGAGTGCGTATGCTGAGCGATGTTTTGCGGGGCAGAGGGCGGTCCAGTTCTATCGGTAATACGCCCCACGTTTGAATTTGGAGCGGTCGCGTTACGCTGTCAAAAAGCAGCATAACAACGTATTCATGTCTTGAGAAATACTTCATTACGCCATCCGGTGTATGACTAATTCTATTGGCCACGTTACAGAAAACACCAAAGGGGGGAAATCGGTGGTTCGAGAGACCTCTTGTGCTCATTCTAAATGCGCGAAACGGTTATGGTATTTGTTGGCGTTTACTGTACATCCAAAAATCTTTGGCAGGCATGTCTGTTAACTATAACCGTCGTGTCAGAAACCATGGACATTGCTTGGAAGCTACAGCACCTGCCAATAATCGGACAACAAAACTTGTATTTAAGTCACACTTCAAAAGTAAACAACTCAAGAACTTGATCCAAGGAGGAAGAAATCTAGTGTATAACATGTCCTAAACGTTTCATTAAAATCGGTAACTTAAAGTTGTGGCCCTCTTCTTGGTCATGGTCCATGGTGCGTTGACATCACCCGTAGGATCATTGATTGTCATGCTTACAGTTTAGCAAAGGTGATGGTGCAAAGAAACTTTTTTTTAATGTTATTTTCTAGATTATTTGAAGGTTATTCATCTTTTTGCTTTTCAAATGGCATCATGTAGTTTTAATTTCATAATGTTGCAACTGATATCAGTACAAGTTCAGCGACATAGCAGGGATACTACGACCTTGAAATGACTTTGGACTCTGTTGCGTAATGCTCGGTTTCTTATTTTTGATGTTAGGAATTTAGTGGACTGTATATGAGTGGCATTTGCATGGAACGAGCCAGGATGGAAACGGATGTCTGGTGACAGCTGTGTGGCAAGTAAATGTACACATGTTGGCTTTATGATTACTTTATTGCGTCAATATTGGTTAAAACAATGAGAGAGCCAGAATTCAAAGTATGCAATGAACCAATGTGTGATCAGTTTATTATCTACGAATTGAAGAATGAATGTGTAAACTATGGATGGTGAATATAACAGTGAGTGACCAACATTAATTGATATTTCTCAACTCGATGCCTGAGCAACATACTTGATATGAATAGAATCAATGGATGAGCAAGCTTGAGAATGTGAACACAATAAAAATGAGTTCAATTACACTGTGTAAATCGTGTGAGTTAGGCCATGTAAATCTGGTTGATCAAGTCAAATGTAGAGTACTTTTCATTATTAATTGAATGGCCACACTATGAGTGGTTCTATGGTAATAGAGTCTACGTGTAAGTGAGACGTGAGTGTTTACCGTGCGGATCAGTAACCACTGCGTTGATATGCGCAGTGAGGTGGTCGTAAATCACCTCGTGGTCGCAGGTGGTTTCGACAATGGCCGATCAGCTGGTGATAATTCGGCGTGAGCTGGTCTGTTGGTGAGTTGGGCTACGGTGTTGTATAGAGTTATCCCTGTGAACCGGGGAACAGAATACGGCCACGGTATTCCCTGCCTGTCGTAAGAGGCGACTAAAAGGGAGAGTTGGGGACCGCGGGACTGTGGCACCCGCGGTCCGATGGGGGGGTGGGGCTTCTAGCCTCCCCCCCCCATCAGAGAGGGCGCTCCGTCACCTACATCTGGCGGAGCCGGCGCTGGGGAGGTACCGGTTGTGTTCGCAAGAGATCCCGGTGCCTCCCCGCAGAGCGCCGAGCCCGGCCACCGTGAGGTTTTAGTGGGTATTCCCCCTGGGTTATTCCCTATGGGGGCGAGTCCCACACTACCCCCGCCCCTCCCACATCGGAGGAGGGCGGGGGTGTGCGTAATGCATTTCCTCACGTTAAAAAAAAAAAAAAAAAAAAAAAAACGGTGTTGTATAGAGTTGTTCTTATTGGGTTGGTGTTCCGTCACAGTATTCACGATTTACAAGATCAGTGTGGATTTGTGCACAAATAGTCACACGAACAGAAAACTGTCGAGTCGTACACGATGCGTTTGATACCACGATCCGAACAAGAGTGTCCGCGTGAGACGTCGTTTCCGCCCGCTTGTAAGGAAGACGGATGTGACGTATCACTGTTGATGATTGCAATTGGTGCGTTCGCTAAGCGACACGCACGCCACGGGCCGTGGTTGGCTCGTGGTGAGCGACGCGCACGCCACGCGCAGCTATCGGCGCGTGGTGTGTGTGACTCTGCGGTGATGCGGGTGATGATGTCAACCATTACCGATGCATCGTTCATGGCTGATCGGCTGTTGCATGGTCGGTTCGTTGGTGATCATTGGGAGGTGCTGCCTCCGTCAATTGATTTGTCTCAATATTGAACAGACTCATTGTCAGAAATCTAGGGTGCAGGCATTTTTTCTCTAGTTTTCATTCATCAATACAATCTATGATCACCCGATATATTGCACAAGCATTATTTCTTTGGCGATCCGGAACAGAATTCGCAAAGTATGGGGAACACCTCTTCACGTGTTTCAGGAGAAAATAAAAATCATACAAATTGATTTCTAACGTGCACCGAATCTTAATTACTTTGACTCTATTTCGTGTATGTTTTTCTAGTAATTGCAGATTACTTTTGCTAATATTTTCATTCAGACGATTTCCAAGAATTGATCATTTGATTTCAAAGTTACGGTATACTAAAAGAACTTTTCATATTAATGACGTGTGAATTGGAATTACATTTGAATCTACATGTGATATTTTGAATCTAATCGATTTAACGGGAGTTTGTGTATTTGACAGAGAATCATTAAATCATAAAATTCTCTAAAATTTGATCAGATTCTTGGGAGGATCATTCAATGATTTTTAGGAGAATCTGTTGAAATTTGAGCGAATTTGTTGATTTAATGATTTATATAATTAACATGGATTGAAGACAGTTTTGCGGGTCTATTATATGTATATATATTTGCCTTCTGTCAGAAATGTCATTTAAATGACTGTCTTCTTATCTTGTTAAGTTATTTTTAATTTTAATTTTCCACAAGAGAAATTAGTTCTCCAGATGGATTATCCCAGAAAGTTAATTCCACTGCGCGTGATTTTGATTTGCAAAGTTATGAATGTCGTGAATGTTCTGTTTTTAAGGGTACATTATAATCTAGTGTTAGTGGATAGCAACGTAATAATTGTAAATAAATGCAATTGTAGACTAGACAAGATTTTGAAATGAGTGTAGTTTCTGGTATAATTCACTATATTCAAATTGTACAAAAATTGTTACAAAATATTAAATATACCTAATTTTAAGTATTTTTTGCCTTCAGACATGAAGAAAGAATTCTGTAGTTTTACTTCTAGTGTTGAAGTTTTGGTCTTTATTTTGGAGGGAAAATTTTAAAGATTTCTCTCTACATAATATATCCTTCCGGCGTGTCTTACTATTCCGTAATTCATTTCTGTAAGAAAAGAAATATTATTTGATTACATGTAATATTCATTTCAGTATTTCATAAGTTTGTTCTGTTTACCACTCCTGCGGTGCCCAATGGCGTATTCTGTGGCATGATATAGACATCGTAGATCTGAAATTGATTAAATTTATATTGTATATCTTCATCGTAATTGCAACGGAAGTGCAGTAGAACATCAATCTTCAAGTATTTATTTGAGAATTTGAGACTGTTCTTAAGGCCATGTATTTATTCATAAATTATTAAGGAAATTCTTGTCTGTTTCTTGCTATACAAAAGCACTATTTCTATTGAAGAATAATAAAATTTCGAAGACAGTCCTGAAATATGTACTCGTAATTCACTTTGATTTTTTGTCTTAATTATACATAGATCTTTCAAGGGTTCATCAAAATGTACAGTAAAATGTGTACTTAATTAGAAACAGTCACTGTTGACTAATGTTCTACAGCTCTATTATTACTGAACTACGGATCTTCGAATAAGTTACTTGAATTCGGAATTAATTGAAAAATTGTTAAAAGAAGCGTTCAATGATTAAGGGGATAAGAACAAAGAGTAACAGTACCCATTTGCAGAGTTTTCGCGAAGTCATGTATGGAACATGATGTTCTAATGTTGCTCTACAACAGTTTCGCACACTTCCTGATATATTAAAATTCGCTGCATGTTTTTAAATTATTTTTTATCTCATTATTCAGAACTGACAAGACAATTATTGTATAATATTGTTGTTCTTGAATAACTGTTTCAACAATTCCCAACAATAAGTAAGAGAAACATTAAACAATCACCATCGGCAATTTTATATTCAATAACCCAATAATTTCGATAATTGACGTTCTACTCGATTTATTCTGTCCGTAATTCACGTAATATACGCTTTCTTGTACTTACTTCCACGCCTTGTGGTGTTCCTAAGGCATACATTACTGCATCAGCGACGTCCTCAGCACTTAATGTGGGTATTTTATCAAGAAGGCTATCAAGTTTGGCTATACCTCTCAACATATCTGTCATGACTGCTCCAGGACTGATACTCTGTGAAAATACAAAAATATCATGATACACGAACGATAATATTATGAAATACATATCTATATCAACATATTTATCTACAGTGATTTCTCGATGAATGCTTTGTAACCATTCAAAACAGAGTAAACAGAAGCTAAGCAAAGACTCAACTTCGTGCAAAAAACAAATTTATGAGGGGCTGAAAACCTTTCCGTCTTGCCACGAATGCTTCAATGCGGATACGAGTCCGTTGCACTCATCGAGACATTACTGTAGTCACATGTTATTGTCATTTCGACAGTTTTACATATTTACTTAGTTACCTATTGACGTAATCGTTTATTTATTATTCTATCTATCTTGTACGTACTTATTGGCCCATTTTGCAATTCAATTTACATTTATTTTGTTATTTGTTTATTATTTATTACAAAATTCATTTATTTATCTTATTTAAGCAGCAGTATACTTATTATTATTACACTCACTACTAGTATACATTCTTCTCTACCAAACGAGAACCAAATACATTATAATATCGTCTTACAAGGGAAGGCACGGAAGTATCCCCCTCCGATTTTGATGAAACTTCGTATGTCTGTTAAGCAATCAAAAATAGGGGATACATAAATGCCAATAATAATTGCTAGTAGGGTCGGATGGGCCTTAGGGGTGATTGGTGGTTGGGGATCCCGATAATCGTTTTTCTAGGGTGTCGAAGACTATTTATGCCAAATTTGATGCGGATACGTTCAGCGATATAGAAGCTTTTACGTAACAAACAAAAATTGATTCAGTCAGATTACCGAATTGGTCAAAAAACCGTATCGTCTGAACTGGCTGTTACAGCTGTTAACTGATTCACTTGAAATTTTCACTGAATACTCTTTAATACATTCTGCTGTGAACTACATAGGATTTTGCGAAATATTGAAAACTCTTTTTGCAATCAACATTTTTATACGAACATTTTAAGGAAAAATGGTTCTATAAAAATTATTTATCCGCAAGGAATAGTCAAAGTTACGAATGATTTTTGGGTCTCAGGATTGACCTAACTCCTTAAGTACTTCAATTCTTGTTACTGGAAGAGTAAGATTCAACGCATAGTTCACGCATACCGAGAATCAAATTTGGAGAACCGCCAGACAGGTGACCTAGTACCGGTTCTAAGATTGGCATTTAAGGGCTAAACCGGTTCTCACAAAAGAACCGACAGTAGGTTCTTAGAGCAGTTCTCTTATGGAAGCGGTTCTTGAATGTAGAAACCGGTTCCAAACGAGTCGGTTCGGTTCTTCTTCCGTCCATGGCTATATGTATATTACATGTTTCATAAGAACATGTGAGTGGAATAGTTTGTTGTATTCGGTTCTGATTCAGGTTATTGCCACTTGTTGTTTCCTATTAAATTTAGAATTTGTTGTAAGGTCATGAAAGTTAGCAATTGATTTATGGCGTAGGCTTGCTTTATAGTTTTTCCATGTTCGGTTCCAAGAATGCTTCCACAATGTTTCGATGTGCTTGTTAATGTCCAGGGAAGTGTTATATAGGAATTGACTAGACGTATGTAGAGTGGATGCTTCAAGATTGGCTATGACATTCTCATATACAGAGTGTAACAAAAATGTTGGGGTACCCGGAAACGGGAGACTCGTGAGGTGATTTCAAATAAGTTTTTCCCTAGTAAAAATGTTATCTAAGGCTTTGTTAACGAGATTAGGCACTGGCAATGCGGTAACTAAGAGAGGTTTTAAATGATTACCGAATAGAACTTCAACTGAACTCGCGGATTCTATAAGGTTAATTGGTGATTCGAAAGGAAGCTTAAGCACGATCCCACTGAATACAACCGACTTTTACCGGATATAATTCGACGTGACTCTACAACTGACTACTATCCTGGCCCCCGGAGGGTTAAAATCAGAAGGTGTATATAGTCCCAAAACTGGGTGGGATTTCCTTAGAATTTCCCTATAAGGAAATCTGAACGGTCGCAAAGTGAATCATGATTCTGTCTCTGGTTGCTATGCAGTTGGTCGACATTACGCTTCCCCTATTACTTGAGGAATAAGCAAACGAAGTTTTAGGGCGTTTTCTGTTAGAAAAAACGTTTTTCTAACGAAAAACGCCCTTCCAATAGAGTTGTGGTTGTAACTGACTCAGCCAATGACGATAATGCGTGTGTCTCGTGGTGGGTGTCGCGACATGATTGGAGGGCATCTTATGAGCTCCGGATTACATCGATAATGTATTTTCGCTAGCGTCCGTGTGTTTACATCAGCGCTTCGATCGATTCGGAGTTGGCTCCGAAGGAGTCTCCCCCCTTAATACGTACTCTGGATACGTCTCTGATAGATTTCCAAAATGGCGCATGAAGAGGCGGTCGAAACATGTTTCGCATCATAAATCATCGGTGTCCTCAAGTTGTTCACCTTAAAAAGTGTTGTAACACCACTTATCTATCAAATTCTTTTCTTATCCGCACATACAAAATGGAAATAAAATAAAAATATTTTGCAACATTTAGATCTGTGATCGCCGCTTCTTTCGCCATATCGAAGGAAGTACTTACGAACAGTTTTCAGTTGAAAACTGTTTTGAATACTTAAGAACGAAAAGCATCAATATCTTACGAAATATTAGTATGTAAATTTCAGCACTGTTTGAGCGTGAAATTGTATTAGAAAGTGAATTCTTACTGTAACTTTAATGTTCAGACCGGCGTGGATGATTTCGTGACGAATTTCAGTACTCAACGCAGTCAAAGCATATTTGCTGGCGGCGTACATACCAATCGGCAAGTGTATTGTCTCTGCAAAGTGTCCGGCCATGCTGTAAATTAAATACATGTGTATACATATGCGTGTATGCATTAGGTGTACCAATAAATAAGTAGTCCACTATTTCTGGTGAAATTGCATTTGTCTCGAAACAATTAAAATGACTACCTTATTTTAACAATATTCGTTATTTGTTCTTATCATCCTTCAGCATTTTGAGTAAACAGAGGATTGGAAAGGTATTCTGAATCGAAAATGTACTGCCACCATATTGGAATTATGTACAGGGACCTGGCGATTATTGTCCCAAACTCGGGTCCGCGCCGGGACAATAATCGTGGAATACGCGAAACGCTTTTGACCCTCGTAAATACGTTTTTTTCCCGATGCTCAAGCATCGGCAATTCGCCTTTGTAGTATCCCGAACATAGAAAAGGACAAGTGACTGAGAAACAGAGAGAAAGCTTCTTTTTACATTCGACTCGGCTGCGTGGCCCGCCTGCGACGCTCTCGCCAATAATAAAAATACGTGTGACTGGAGGTGATTGTCGATCCAGCTTCATTCGATTTGTTGGCAGCTCTCTGGGCATTTGCTCACGATTGAATGCTTCGACTAATCGTCGTACCCTCGCGAGCAAACTCGGCTTCCGCCAGGGGAAAAAGTGGAAAAGGGAAAGGGCCTCCTACCATTTGGTTTTGGAAGTTTCTGAAATTTATGCAAAATTAACATACATTTTAACATTCATATTAGTATTTGAAATACATTTACTAAGTGGTAGGAAACCCTTATTCTACGTCACTTTTTCCCCTAGCGGAAGCCGAGTTTGCTCGCGAGATTACATTCCCCCGTTCTGTCCGTTCAGTCTACAGAGCGCATACATTGTTATCCCGGCGCGCCGAGACGACTTTTCATTCAGGAGCCAAAAGAAGATTACATTCCCGGGTATCGATAATACAACACTAATGCACCGATGACACTTTTTTATTTTTGAGTCTTTGTTAATGAAATTTTTACTAGTATATTGGTGAGATTTCTCCGATTAGAAGAATACCAAAAACGCGCGGCTTCCGTTTCCGGTTATGAGTGGCTTAGGACGTGCGTGACGATTGGGAATTTGGAAGTGAGATTTTCAGTGTGAGAAGAGAAGAAGAATAGAACAAGTGTGGTGTAAGGTGGTATGAAAGGGCGTAGAGCTCAGGGAGACAGAGTTGGAGAGGAAGAGTGAGTGAAGGAGAACATAACAAGGGAGTGCAAAGAAGTCAGGCGTGTGAGGTTAGGTCGGGCAAGAGAGAGAAAGGCGGGAACCGGTAAGAGCAGGTGGGGGAAGGTAGCGGCGCCGGTGGAAAAAAGGGGTCTTGTGCTGGTAAGATAGGAACGGTCGGTAAAGAAAGGGAGTAGGGAAGGTAAGGTAGGAAGGTCGATAAGAAGGATCGAACAGCTGAGATAGTGGAAAGTTACAGGGAAAGAATGGCTGAAGAGGAAAAGAAGAAGGGAAAGCCCACGAAGGTGGAAATCCTGAATTGAGACTGGAGTTGCAGTGTGGGAAGTCAGAATGAGCTAGAGGATTTTTGGAATAGGAAGAGAGTGGTGTCAAAGGAGGGGGAGGAGAAGGTGGGAAGAGTAGAGGAATGAATATTTAGGAGGAGCAAGAAGATACAGAGGTCGCCGGAAAGAGGGATAGATGGGCAGGGAGGATTGCGGAGCTGTGTAAAATGATAAGTGAGATGAGAGAGGAAGTGAAAAGATTTATAGAGGAGGTGTAAGGACAGGGGAGAGAGTTGAGAAGGGAGGTGGAAGAAGTGAAAGAAGAGTTAAAAGGCATAAAAGGTAGGGCAGAGAAATGAAGAAAGGAAAAAGAAAATATGTGGGGGATAATAGGAGTGAGAGAGCAGAAAATGGAGGATGTAAAAATCAGGGGACAGGGCGGGAGATGGGAAGACCTGGAGGGTAGGCTTAAACGGATAGAGAGAAATATGGAATGGTGGGGGAAGGAAGAAAAAATAGAGGGCGGAGACGACGTAGAGGAAAATATGAGGAGAATGAAAGAGACGATTAAGAGGAAGGACAGAGAGGAGAGAAGGAGGAATATAATTATAAGGGGAATGAAAACGGCTGATAGGAAGGTAAGGCAGGACGTGAAGAAATTCCCGAGGGTGATAGACGGAGTGGTAGAGGTGGTGGCGGTTAGGAGATTGGCGGGAAGGGTGGGAGGGGGGAGGGGGATAATTGTAGTCAGACTGAGGGATCTGGAACAGAAGAGGATGATGATGAACAAAAAAAGGGGGCTGAAAGGGAGAAAGGAAACGATAGAGGACGACCTCACATGGAAGGAAAGGAAAATGCTGTGGAGGTTGGAAAGAATAGCGGAGGAAGAGAAGAATAAAGGTAGAGAAGTATGGGTGGCCTATGGAAGGATTCAAATAGATGGGAAGTGATAGAAGTGGGATGAAGAGCACGAGGTTCTAAAAGACGGAAGGGGGTGCAATTAGAACAGGAGAGCGTGGGGTGTGGTTAGGAAAGCAGGAGGGGCGCGGTGAAGGGGAAAGGGAGAGAAGGGTGCGATGAAGAATGTGCGGAGTGGAAAAGGAAGGTAAGAAGGGAGTTGAGAAAATTGAGACAGTGGGAGAGAGGTGGTCAGGGTTATAGAGATGAGAAGAGAAAATATAAGGAGGTATGCGAGAAGAAGAAGAAAGGGAAGAAGAAAGAGAAAAATGAAAGATTCGAGAAACAGATGGAGGAGGCGAGGAAATAAAACGAAATAACGCAAATATGTAGGTATTTTTTGGTTAAAACAAATCATTTATATCTTCTACGGTTTTTTTAATTACCTTCGAACGGACCTAACTTTAAAAATATGCCTCGTATGTATTTACATACTACATAATACAATACTTAGTTTCGTATAACGGGAATTATACGGTTTATACGATTACCTGTACCATTATTTTTCAAGACCTGCACTTATAATTTAGGTTGAAGGGAAGTAAATGGCTGTTTGAATATGTTCAGGTTAACATTGTCCCTGATATAATTGTAAAATATGCAGAATTTCTGCAATTGTTCTTGTAGAGTGATGATGATTACAATTGTAGATTAAAAATGAACATGGATGACGTCTGGTACATTTTTTTGTATCATTTAAGATTTCTTTCTTTCATCCAAGACATTTGTAAGTGATTAATAACTTATTTACTAACAACCCACTCTGTATTTCAGAGATAGTGTAAAATAGTTTGCATGGAGAATTCAGTCGAAAATTAATAAATGATATTCTGCAATATAGCTTACATTTTTGGATAGTGTCATTAGTAGACTGCGGATGTTTATGTATTTATAGCCTCTCTTAACTTGCAAAATGCAATAAGATAAAGATTTTAATAAATTTTAATACTATTTATATGTTATTATTAACTTAGTAAAACTTCTAGTACTAAATTCAAAATTCTGCTCCATTCGAATTTTTATTTATTCGTATGGGAAATTGTGCATTTACATAAACTTCCGCAATCTAGTACTTAGATTTTGGATTGTGCTACCAATATATTTGAAGGGTTGCCTACCTGTTAACGTTAATTATATGTCCAGGTACATCGCGTTTCCTGATCGATTGTGAAAATTCTCTTGCGCAGATGGCTGGAGCTATTACATTGGTATCTAGTACTTTATGATATTCCTCTGTAGATGTCTCTGTAACAGAATGTATATAATAATACTGTTATATCATTTTTCCGTAATTAAACCTCGACTAGATAAATGGAAACCAGATTACTTCTAGAGTTTCGTGAATCACAATCACATTACAGTACGTCTTTAGAGAAGAAAATTAATTGTGTCAATGTAATGTCGTAGGAGAGAGTGGGGTAAACACGAACGCGAGATAATTTCGAATGCAATGGTTACGGTGTGTTAGAAAAGGAAAACTGATCTTCTCCCTCTACTAGCTGACAGTGTACAGTGTCTACAAATATAATAAGATTACAGATGTCATTGTTACCGAGGGATCATAGATTTTGGGTGCCCGAAGAACCCAAAATGAAGTTAGGTCTCTATTGGTGTCAATTGGTCTCTATTACCACAAACGAGATTCTCGTCTGTGATATCACACACATTCATATATGTATATCCTATATGTATGCTGCATTGCGAAGATGTTTTATACTCTTATGGTAAGATAGAGCAAATGGCGCTTGTTCTCGAGGCACAGATTCATGACCATATACATATACAGGGAGTTTCAAAAATGTCTCTCTTCCCGGAAATGAGGAGTTCCCGGGATGATTTGAAACAACTTTTTCCTTAGCGAAAATGTTATCCGAGGCTTTGTTAACGAGATATTAACAAAAAACCACGACCAATCAGAGCGCGAGTTTGCCAGCCGAATTCCCGCGCCATCGGTGGCTACGTGTTACGCTTGTACTATGCAGTTCCGAATAACCAAGTCGGTATGCATGCCCGAAAACTGCGTATAATAGCAAATAAAATAGACGAAACAAATAAAATCATACTTTTTTTCATCTTTCGTTTGTTATTTAAAGAGATTAATGAATGAAGCATAAATGTAGGAAAATCATGTGTAACGTAAAAAGACGAATGCACAGTTAATTTTTTAAACAGAATGGAAACTAATAATCAGCTCGGGAATTTGTAAATTCGTTTTTCAAATAACGTATTAACGAAAACGTAATGTAACCGAAAATGAACAAGAAGTGATCGTAGTTCGTTACGGACATCAAAATCCGTAATTTAATAACGGGCAACAATGTTACTGATAATGAATAAGTCTCTTTAAAAAGCCCGAAGAAAAATTTAGGTACAGAAACTTGCAGAATTATGACCAGAAGTAAGTCATAGTTTGCGTTAAGTTAGGAAAATAATAATCAGCAATAAATTGATTAGAACTCATCTTTTCGGAAGTTCACTTGCAGTTTGCAAACCTGAGTCACTAGGTCACTGAACCGATCCTGGTCATTGACGGCCGAAACGGTTTTTGGCAGGGTATCGCCCAGTCCGCAGGTGATCGCAGGTGTACCACACCAGCCGAAGCTAAGGGTTGTATCATGAAGTGTGTCCGGGTTATTCCACCGAATACGTATTCACTTCACTGCACGACCACTAACACTGACCAACTGACACGATCACTTAATGTATTTTTAATTTTTTTTTAATTAATATGAATAAATCATACTAAGAAATGTTCCCGAACTGAAACAATGACCGATTTGTTTCAAATATTATGTATATCATCTGATCCTTTAGTATCTTCAATTTGCTCAGCTAGAAGAAAAAATGTTCATAAAAATCGATTAACATTCGAAGATGATGTAAAAGAACTTCTGGTAGACAACGATCACTCAGACAAAGAAAATTAATTTTGTATTTCTCTTTATAGAAAATTAGTATTGAATAAATATTATACAGGGTGAGGCACTAACTATTGCCACCTAGAATAACTCCGAAAGTATGATAGTAGTAGAAAAATTTTCGAAACAAAATTTGCATGGGACTACGGGGGCTGTTATACGACGTTAGTTTTTTGTTGCTAGGTGGAGTCGCTTCAGAGATTTGAAGATCAACTTTGTTTTTCTAGATAGAATGCTGTTCTGGTACTTATTTTCTTATAGCGGCTATCGAGACGAATCCAATGATGTGCAACATTAATAAAAAGCTAAGCAAAAGGATGAAATGAACTTACATTTACAGAAGGTGTTCAAAATGATTACCATTGGTATCAATGCAGTGCTGCAATCTCCTTATCACGGATTGAGTACTATTTCTTATCACTTCGGCACTTATCGAATCACATGCTCTAACAATTCTCTCTCGCATATCTTCAGGCGTAGTTGGAACTTCTTTATAAACAATGTTTTTCAAGAATCCCCACAAGAAAAAATCCAGAGGCGTCAAGTCTGGCGAACGAGCCGGCCACGGTATAGCTCTCCTCCGCGTCCAATCCAACGATTTGGAAATCTTCTTTGCCACTCATTTCTAGCCATCAGCGAAAAATGTGCCGGACACTCATCGTGTTGATACCATATTCTGTTCCTTATTTCTAAAGGTATTTCTTCCAATAACGGACCTAATGTTTCTTGAAGGAATGTGGTGTACTTTCTACCATTAAGATTTCCTTCGATGAAAAAGGGGCCGATAATTCTGTCCTCAATAATCCCACACCATACATTCACCGACCACGGTTTTTGGTGTGCAACTTGCTGCAGCCAACGTAGATCTTCAGTTGACCAAAAATGCATGTTATGCAAATTAATATTACCATGATTCGTGAATGTTGCCTCATCAGTAAATAAAATCCAATTAATCAATGAGTTATTTCTCTGAATCTGGAGTTGAGCCCATCGGCAGAATTCAATACGATTCATGAAGTCCGTACCAATTAATTATTGGTGAAGACTGATATGGTAAGAATGATATTCATTATGGCTACGCAGAACACGAATAACACTTCTGTGGCTTTCGCCAGATTCCCTTGTGATTTGACGCGAACTAACACAAGGATCACGAACCACAGTGGCAAGAATACCAATTTCCGTTTCTTCGTTAGATACTTGCTTTTGCCGGCTATTTTTCCGATGGGTTAAGGATCCAGTTGTTCTCAATTTATCGTACAAATATTTAAATGTACGGCGTGTAGGGTGAGAACGTTCAGGATATCTTTCAGCGTATATGTCTCTAGCTCTCACTGAATTTTGCTGGCATTCTCCGTAAATGAGAAGCATATCGGTTTGTTCTTCGAAAGAATACATCATTTACTACAATCGCTTGATTCGATGATACTAGTCTTACCGCTCTTATTACTTGTTACGTTCTTCGTACACCGCTGTTATTGTTGTCTTGCGATATCGTCCGAACAGTGTTTACATTGTCAGGTTTGATAAATACGCCGACGCCGTATTTAGTAAATATTTACTGTATTTGCACGATATGCGAGAGAGAATTGTTAGAGCATGTGATTTGATAAGTGCCGAAGTGATAAGAAATAGTACTCAATCCGTGATAAGGAGAGTACAGCATTGCATTGATACCAATGGTAATCACTATGAACACCTTCTGTAAATGAAACTTCATTTCACCTTTTTGCCTTAAATGACCTTCGTTGACCTTCACAGACCTTAATGTTGCACATCATTGGATTCGTCTCGATAGCCGCTATCAGAAAATAAGTACCAAAGCATAGCATTCTATCTAGAAAAACAAAGATGACCTTCAAATCTCTGAAGCGACTCCACCTAGCAACAAAAAGCTAACGTCATACAACAGCCTCCATTGTGCCATGCAACTTTTGTTTCGAAAACTTTTCTACTACTATCATACTTTCGGAGTTATTCTAGGTGGCAATAGTTAGTGCCTCACCCTGTATAATATTTATTCAATACTAATTTTCTATAAAGAGAAATACAAAATTAATTTTCTTCGTCTGAGTGATCGTTGTCTACCAGAAGTTCTTTTACATCATCTTCGTATGTTAATCGATTTTTATGGACATTTTTTCTTTTAGCTGAGGAAATTGAAGATACTAAAGGATCAGATGATATACATAATATTTGAAACAAATAGATCATTGTTTCAGTTCGGGAACATTTCCTAATATGATTTATTTACGTTAATTAAAAAAAAAATTAAAAATACATTAAGTGATCGTGTCAGTTGGTCAGTGTTAGTGGTCGTGCAGTGAAGTGAATACGTATTCGGTGGAATAAGCCGGACGCACTTGATGATACAACCCTTAACTTCGGCTGGTGTGGTACACCTGCGATCACCTGCGAACTGTGCGATACCCTGCCATAAACCGTTTCGGCAGTCGATGACCAGGATCGGTCCAGTGTCCTAGTGACACAGGTTTGCAAACGGCAGGTAAATTTCCGAAAGGGTGAGTTCTAATCAATTTATTGCTGATTGTTATTTTTTGAACTTAACACAAGCTATCACTTATTTCTGGTCATACTTCTGCAAATTTCTGTACCTAAATTTTTTTTCGGGCTTTTTAAAGAGACTTATTCATTATCAGTAACATTGTTGCCCGTTATAAAACTACGGATTTTTATCTCAATAACGAACTACGATCACTTATAGTTTATTTTCTGTTACATTACTGTGGGAGCAGGAACTCCATACCCAATAAAGAAGCAAATAGTTTTCGGCGCCGGGGGTCGTGAGTTCGAATCCCGCTTGGGCTCTTTCATTTTTCCAACGTTCCCACATTATCTTCTCGTCAATACGTTATTTGAAAAAGGAATTAACAAATTCCTGAGCCTCTCTCTTCAAATAATTATTAGTTTCCATTCTGTTTTAAAAAGTAACTGTGTATTCGTCTTTTTACGTTACACATGATTTTCTTATATTTATGTTTCATTCATTTATCACTTTAAATGACAAACGAAAGATGATAAAAAGTTCGATTTGTTACGTTTTTCTTATTTGCTATTATACGCGGTTTCCTGGGATGCATGCCGACTTGCTTGTTAGGAGCTTCATAGTGCAAGCGTAGCGCGTAGCCACCGCTAGCACGGGAACTCGGCTGGCAAACTCGCGCTCTGATTGGTCGGGGTTATTCGTTAATATCTCGTTAACAAAGCCTCGGATAACATTTTCGCAGAGGAAAAAGTTGTTTCAAATCATCCCATGATCCCCTCATTTCCGGGAAGAGAGATTATTTAGTAGTGTGGCGTACATCG